TAGCCAAAGAATCATAATAAGCAGGGAAAGAATTAAAAGATTCTCATCATAAAACTGACCTTGAAATTTTCATCTTGCATCACAAATCAGTTCATTGGGGGAAAGTGGAAACACAAGTGAACTTTTGACATAAAACATTCTTTAAGTAACACAATTTAAATGACTCAAGTGCTCATGAAAGTATCTGAGTAAATACAAATAGTAAATACAAATTTTCTGTCCTTGCTCTTTAGAAGCAGAATTTTGATTGACGAATGGTTCAAACCATAGCCCGAAGGTATGAGGTGTTTCATCTGTAGGCTGATGTAAATCATTGCACATGTATTATATTTACCAATACATCTCTCAGCAAAGCCAATTGATCCGCCCCAAAATTTTTGGATATTGCAGACTACTGTAGTGCCTAGGGATCTTATGGCTTAAGTAACTCACATTCAATTAGTCCTATGTGACTCCGAGAAAAGAATTTCTAATGCTGATTGAGCTTGATGAAGTTTTGGCACCTCAATAATACAAAATCTGTTTTCCATGTACTCCATTACTTGGCTCAACATCATAGATTTATGTTTTTCCAAGTCAAGTTAATATTGTCAAGTGACTGCACATCGTCATCGTTTATCAGCTTTAAGAGTTGTGATTAATGCTCCTACTGCATGGCACATGCTTTGTGCAGGTGATTGACTACAAAACTCAGCAAAACAGGCTCTTCCCCTTGTTGGCTTCTGCATATGCCTTCAGATTTGTTGGTGAGTGGCTGAAATGGTTGTACACTGATGTTACCCAAAGACTTGCAGCAAATGATTTCTCAACATTGCCTGAGGCACATGCATGTACCGCAGGATTGAAGTCTTTGACCACCAGTGCCACTGCTGTAAGTTCTGACAACAACTTCGATTGTCCACCGACCTTTACTTTCTTTCCCTTTTACAACCAGTCATTGATGCTATCATCCTTCTCTGGGGCTTTTGGGTTATCATTCTAAGTTTTATGCACGAGTCATCCATATACCTAACAAGATAGATGTAAATTTCTGTAGAAAGTTTAAATTTTATAAAATGCATGCGGAAAGCCTAATCAGAAAAATATATGGCTGTCCACATGATTAAGTTTTGCTTGTCTTAGAGTTTTTGTTTTTACAACTTGTCCCGTTTGGCAGGTTAAGGCTCTGCTATGATTGATGTTTCTGCTACGATGTAGTCTCCTAAACAATCTTCATTTGTATTAGGATAAGAGATTAGCAATTAGGTTTTCTGCAATGGTGGCTTGTACTGCTTATAAATAGTCAAATTTCTTGTCTGACAGAAGAGTTTAATTTGTACCTGCTCTTCTTTAGCTTCAAGAAAGAAATATTACGTTACTCTAAGTGCGGATTTGAATCCAATATCATACCATTTAACATAACATGCTTCTTGTGTGATTGCATTTCATTCCAGGATGGAATTGAAGAATGCCGAAAGTTATGCGGAGGTCATGGTTATCTTTGTAGCAGTGGGCTTCCAGAATTATTTGCCGTTTATGTCCCTGCCTGTACTTACGAAGGAGATAATGTCGTGCTACAGCTACAGGTAAGCTAAATTTTTATATGGAGTTTGACATGCCAGTTCTCAATTTTTCTGTGCCTTCCACTCATCCAAAGGGAAAGATCAAAATTTTGCTAGTTTCCATTTTATTCCAAAATTTTGAAGTTCTTATAAAGTGATGGTGTGGAGTTAGAGATTCCTTTAGCTCAGCTGGTTCCGTAGCGATCATTTAAGCCTGTCAATCATATTTACCTTTTTGGGTGCAGTACCATCAAACTGAACAAATAAGCAAAAACATAAATCCTTTAAGCTTGAGTTTCTCATTGATTTTTAAAAAATAAAATATCCAGCAGTTGTATATTGTTTCTGGTTTTTACGGTTCAATTTAGTCTCTCTTTTTTTTTTTTGTAAAATAAGAGAACAAGCAATGAAGTATAGAGGAATTTCTGGAAAATGTAAAATTCTTATATATAGTACTATCCTGTACTTCTTCCCTCACTTATCATGATCTTTCAGAAGTTATAGATGTTCTATAATTAAGTCAATCAGTGTTTGGAACTAGAATTGTGCAGTCGCTGAACCAAGGTACATTTTGTCACTTTTAAGTACTGAGATCATTTTTGTTACAGAGGAGACTAAGGTAATCATTTTGGAATGGAGGAAGTAGATAAGAAAGTGGATGATAGTCAGTTGATTTTCTTAAAATCAATGGACAAATTTAAATGTTTATAGAATCGGTGGTTGAGCAACCTTTCCTATACTAGATTTTCTTAAAATCAAAGGACAAATTTAAATGTTTATAGAATCGGTGGTTGAGCAACCTTTTCTAAACTAATTTTTGTGAGATTTTGTGGCTTCACAATGGTGATTCTGTTGCTGCTGTTTTGTCTATTTCTCCCAAAAGCAAGTGAACTGCACTAGATGCTCATCTATTTTATGTAGAATTAATGCAGTTTTCTAATCCTAATATAATATTAGATCCCGTTCTCCACTATGAACCATGCGGTGTTTCATGTAGGTTGCAAGGTTTCTTATGAAGACCATTTCACAACTGGGCACTGGAAAGAAGCCAGTAGGTACCGTATCTTATATGGGAAGAATCGAACACTTGATGCAGTGTCGTTCTGATGTGAAACAAGGTAAAGTCCTTGGCTCCTCATAGCTGATCCTTCATTGTCATAGTTACAATTCGTTTGAAAGTACTTATTGTAGTAGCAGCAGTTGCGTTAGGAAAAGGATCCACTTGTGATATTGGTTCGTGTAGTTTCCTTGTTTTTACTTGCATTATGTCAACCATGTGAGAAGGCCTGTTGTTTCACCCTTCAAATATACTCCTGTGTTTTCTAACCTACACAAAGTTAGTTGCTGATTGTGGTTTTCCCATCTTCTGCAGCCGAGGACTGGCTGAAACCTAGTGCAGTATTGGAAGCATTTGAAGCAAGGTCTGCCAGGATGTCTGTTGCCTGCGCTAAGAATCTTAGCAAGTTTGAGAATCAAGAAGAAGGTACTCACTTTGTTTTTGCTGCCTTTCTTTTTCACTTCTGTATTTTTTTTTAATTACTGTCTATGTTAACGTTCCTTCATGAAGTTTCAGCTGCAAATGTTTAATTTAACGATCATTCTGTGCATTTTTCTCGCATCCGAATTTCAATTTCTAATTTTCTTGCTTTGTCCTCCTTTTTTAGGCTTTGCAGAACTAGCAGCTGATTTAGTTGAAGCAGCAGTTGCTCATTGTCAATTAATTGTTGTGTCCAAGTAAGCTTTTTTTACTGCATTCTTTTCTTAGTGAAATGCCAAACAATGTCATGACCATGCGAACACAAAATCACTTTTCATAAGTTCTATAAATATGAACTGTCCAAATAGAAAGATCACATAATTTACTGTGTTGACTATTCGTTCTTCAGCTGTATTTGGTTTAAATGATCATAATGTATTCACTCTGCCTGGCTGAAAATGGTGAATTTTTTTATGACTTTCAATTTGTCTTGTAATGCATGAATTGTATCGCATGAAAGTTTATCAAGATTTGATTGACAATGTTGTGGAATAGGTATATTGAGAAGTTGCAACAAAACATTCCCGGTAAAGGGGTTAAGCAACAGCTGGAGGTGCTTTGTGGCATCTATTCACTGTTCATTCTTCACAAACATCAAGGAGATTTTCTCGGGACTGGCTACATCACCTCAAAGCAGGGGTCGCTTGCTAACGACCAGCTCAGAGCCTTGTATTCCCAGGTTTGTCTCGTGAAACTTATTCTGTCATTCCTTTGTTTCTTGGGTGGAATTGTTTTCACTGATCCAGTTCCTGTTTAATATCAGCTTCGTCCAAATGCTGTATCACTGGTTGATGCATTTAACTATACTGATCACTACCTTGGTTCAATTCTTGGACGTTATGATGGAAACGTGTATCCAAAACTGTATGAGGCTGCATGGAAGGATCCTCTCAACAAATCAGACATAGCAGATGGCTTCCACGAATATATTAGGCCACTACTCAAGCAGCAACTACGAACTGCTAAGCTGTGAAGCGCGAGAGCTGCAGCAAACTGTTGTTCCGTGCTGTGCCAATAAATTAGATTTTGAAATAGCAACATCCTTTATGACTATTAAGTTGTGACTGATAGTATTTTGTTCTGAATAATATTATTGAACTTTTGTAAGGAAAACTGTTATGTATGCTTTGGCTTCTTTTCCTCCCAGAATTATGAACAAGAATAGATTGATTTTTTGCCTCAAAAATGAGTTCCCTGGTATTTGGAGCCTTTTATTTTTAACAAGCATCCTATTTAATCTGTCTGATTTATGATATACTTTCATACTCAAGAGTCTATCATGCAATCTAATAAAAGTTGAAATTAAAGAGTTTCAAAAAAATAAGAAATATATATAGTTTTTGAACAAACTATAAAGGAAAGTAAGATGTGTCCTGGACCACGGTTTGTATTTGGTGCATCTCTTTTGATCTGCCAGCTGGGACGGAGCTAGAAGGTCAGCTTTAGTCCAAACATTATATATTGTTCGTATTGAGAAATTCATTAAAGTATGAACAAAAATGAAATTTAGAATTCAGTTATTTAATATAAATGTCGATATCCTATAATTTAGAACCCATAGAGTTCTACTCGTAGCTCGGTCTCTGTCTACAAGCCCTTAGTAATAGTGCTTGTGCAATGAGTCTCTGCATATTGATGTATTTTAATATGCTAGTTGTTAGTGTTGCTTTGTGTTACAAGTAACTTCGATGGTCACTCAGCTAGATTACTAGCTCAAAAATGGTAATGTTCATTTAAAGAATAAGAAAAAATTACGTAAGAATGCTTGTACAACCACATACTGCAACTATCCAAACGTGAAGCGAATTCAATGAAGCAACAACTGGTACCACATCTAGCTATACATAGCACACATGAAAATATCAAAGTGTTCAATAATCTGAAGCCCCTTCTACTTTTTGTTATAACTGTCCAAGATTGGATTTTGTATTCTATTTCATCCCTGAGAGAGAGAGATGGAGGGTATAGATTACTTGGCTGAAGAAAGGAAGAAAGCTGAGTTCAATGTTGATGAGATGAAAATTGTTTGGGCAGGTTCTCGCCGTGCTTTTGAAGTTTCAGATTATATCTCCAAGCTTGTTGCTGATGATCCTGTAATTCCTTTTCTTCTCCCATTTAAACTTACGTTTTGACCCCTTTTTGTTGGATATTTTTCTTTTTTGGGGTATGGCTGTCAGTGATATTTCTGAATAACGATTCTCTCGAGCTGAGGGTCTATCAGAAACAACCTCTCTACCTCCATAAATGTAGGGGTAAGGTCTGCGTACACTCCAGTCTCCACCTTCCCCACTTATGGGATCACACTGTGTATGTTGTTGCTGGAAATGAATCAGGATTTGTCTCTAATCTTTATCGAGTGTCATCGTGGGATACAGGGTTTCAGTAAGGAGGAAAGAACCATGCTTTCTAGGAAAGAACTATTTAAAGACACTCTAAGGAAGTCAGCATACTCATGGAAACACATCATTGATCTTCAGCTTTCTGGTATGACTTCATTTTAATATTTTTTCAAATGTGTTCTGCCAAAGAGGAGGCATCTAACTGAAGTTTGTCACTGTTTGCTAATTCAATTGAATTGTCATTTCCGTAGAAGAAGAAGCAGAGAAGTTAAGATATTTCGTCGATGAGCCTGCTTTTATTGATTCTCATTTGGTAGTAATTTCTTGTTTGACTACTATTCTTACATATGCCAATTTTAAAGCTGTTACTCATCTGGCACTGTTTTTCGTCATTAGGGAGTGTTTATACCCGCTATAAAAGGACAGGGCAACAAGGAACAACTGAAAAAGTGGTTGCCGTTGGCATACAAGATGCAAATTATTGGCTGCTATGCTCAAACTGAACTTGGACATGGGTCCAATGTTCAAGGCCTTGAAACCACTGCCACATTCGATCCCCAAACAGATGAATTTGTCATTCATAGTCCAACACTGACATCAAGCAAGGTGAAAGTTGTCCAACACTTGCTATATAATACATTGTTATGCAAGATATGTGTCCTATATGACATCTTTGGCCTGCTTCTAGTTTGTTTTTCTGTTCAATGTGCTATTCTGAAAGGTCTTACAACATGCTTTTTTATTAAGAATAAGTGAATTTCCCTGATTGTTGTTACGATGTCAATAGTGGTGGCCTGGTGGATTAGGTAAAGTCTCTACCCATGCGATTGTGTATGCTCGTCTTATAACAGATGGTAAAGATCATGGGATTAACGGTAAGTCAATGATTTTCAGGTCACAAAACGTTGATGCTTGTCAAACTTTCAGGAAAAATGCACTTACATTTTATCGACTATTCATATTTCAGGTTTTATTGTCCAACTACGGAGCTTGGAGGATCACAAACCTCTTCCAGGCATTACTGTCGGAGATATTGGAACAAAATTTGGAAACGGAGCATACAATACCATGGATAATGGGGTGCTAAGATTTGATCACTTGCATATTCCAAGAGATCAAATGCTGATGAGGTTTGTGTTTTTCATTATTCTGGTCCTGGAATTCAACTTTCAGCTTCTCATGATTAACACAATGGGGTATTATATTTGATCCTAAAATTTCAGGGTTGCACAAGTTACTAAGGATGGAAAATATGTCCAATCTGATGTTCCTCGACAACTTCTCTATGTGTCCATGGTACATGTTCGTCAAGCACTTGTAACATATGCTTCTGGTGCTTTGTCTCGGGCTGTTTGTATTGCAACGAGATATAGTGCTGTTCGTAGACAATTTGGTTCTCAAAATGGTGGACAAGAAATTCAGGTAATTTGGTTCTGATCTTTTGTTCCTGCAGCATTCCATTTATAGCATACTCATTGGACAATTTATGCTTTTCCTAGTCTAATAGTGTCTGGTGACTGCACTTAGCCATCAAGTTGTGATTAATGCTCTTACTTCACGCGTTTATGCAGGTGATAGACTACAAAACACAGCAAAGCAGGCTCTTCCCCTTGTTAGCTTCAGCATATGCCTTCAGATTTGTTGGTGAGTGGCTGAAATGGTTTTGCACTGATGTAACTCAAAGACTAAAAGCAAATGATTTCTCAACGTTGCCTGAGTTGCACGCGACTACAGCTGGAATAAAGTCTTTGACAACCACTGCCACTGCTGTGAGTAGTGACAATTTAATTCTCTTGACTTTTGATTTGAATACAATATCGCGCCATCTAAAATAACTAGTGTCTTGCCTGATTACAATTTTTATTCCAGGATGGAATTGAAGAATGCCGAAAGTTGTGTGGAGGTCATGGTTATCTTTGTAGCAGTGGACTTCCAGAATTATATGCCGTTTCTGTCCCTGCCTGTACATTTGAAGGAGATAACGTCGTGCTACTACTTCAGGTAAAAACTAATTTTCATATGAAGTTTGACATCTATACCGTTTCCAAGTGACTCCACTATGAACCATGTCATGTTTCATGTAGGTTGCAAGGTTTCTTCTGAAGACTCTTTCACAGCTGAGCTCCGGAAAGAAGCCAACGGGTACCATAGCTTATATGGGGAAAATTGAACAGTTGATGCAATGCCATTCTGATGTGGAACAAGGTAACTCCTTGAACTTGCATAACATCAACCGCGTAAAAGTAAATCACTAGTTGTGGTTGTTTTCCATCTCCGGCAGCCAAGGACTGGCTCAAACCTAGTGCAATATTGGAAGCATTTGAAGCAAGGGCTGCCAGGATGTCTGTTTCTTGTGCTCAGAGTCTTAGCAAGTTTGATTATCCAGAAGAAGGTACTTCACTGTAAAAGTTTGATTATCGATCGAGTATAACTTAAAGAACTTCCTTGCTTTACCTCCTTTTTCTAGGCTTTCAAGAACTTGCAACTGATTTAGTTGAAGCTGCAGTTGCTCACTGTCAGTTGATTGTTGTCTCCAAGTAAGCTTCGCGATATTATGGAAATTTGATCTCCTATATATATATATGTGTGTGTGTTGAGAACTTTGTTAATTCTTACATGTCTTTCATCTGATTGAAGATTTATCGAAAAGCTGCAACAAGACATTCCAGGGGAAGGTGTTAAGCAACAACTGGTGGTGCTTTGTAGCATCTATGCACTCTTCCTACTTCACAAACATCAAGGAGACTTCCTCGCGACGGGCTACATCACCTCAAAGCAGGGGTTATTTGCTAATGAGCAGCTCAGGGCCTTGTATACTCAGGTTTGTCTCATTGGATTTGTTATCTGTGTTTGCTGTTCATTTGTGTACCCGAAACTGTATGAGGCTGCGTGGAAGGATCCTCTCAACGAATCGGATATACCCGATGGCTTCCATGAATATATCAGGCCACTACTCGAGCAACAATTGCAGACTGCTAGATTGTGAATGAAGAACTGCAGAAAATGGGAGAAGGCGTAGATTTCCCCTTGAACTTGTCCCGAAAAGTCAATTACACGCTTAAACTATTTACAACTATTATAAAGTCGTCATAATTAATTGTTTAAGCGTGTAACTGACATGCTCTTTCCCTATAGTAATATGACAATAAACTAAAGGTTTTTGAAATACAATATCTTGTATTGTGCTGTGCTGTGCTGTGCTGCAGTAGATATTATTTGAATAAGATTATGGAACTCTGGTCACTTTTTTATTTGTCTATTTTGAATCTTATACGCTCCTTAAAAGTAATGATTAATATGAGTACTTTACCAAAAGAATGATATTATTAATAGATATTGTCTTAAATCTATAGAAATAAATTGAAAAATAAGTAGTAGTAGTACTCTTAACAAAAAGGAGGACCATTATGAAGTTGTTTGATCCAAGAATAAGGTGGCTATCAATAAATTTATACCTAAATTAAATATCAATTTTATCCCAAACTTAATAATGAATATTTCAGATATTATTTTGTTCCATTTTTTAGGCATAGGATATATTAGTCCGCTAACCAAACAACCCCTACCTTTCACAAGTTATTGTGGTAAAATTTCAGTAAATGTATTAGAAATGAAATTATTATCCTAACCAAACGACCCCTACCTTTTATTTATTAATAATTATTATAAGTGCTAAGAGTTTGTACTACTTAACTTGATATAAACACTAAATACAGATAGATCTTATTCGTAATAATTATAGATTCGATAGTCATTCTCCATTATTTTTTTTGGTTCTTATATAGTTCCTGGCTCCTATATATATACTTGGGAAAAAAATAGTTTACATGGTAATAAATTAGTAGTTAAAATGTTTGAATGGTGATTAGTCTAATCATGACTTAATATAAAAACCAATAATAATACAACACCATCCATGCACAATCTACATTTTTTTTAATCTTTGTGCTTTGCTCCTGTTCCAAGTTTGTAGCCACAACCACAAAAAAAGTGAAAAATGAAAGATCAGGTAATGAGATTCTTTTTTTTTAAAAAAAAGTCCAAAAGGAACAAAAGCAAAAGACATGATTAAGATTTTAGACTAAACATTTTTAGTAAAAGATTAGGTCAAAATGTCATAATGCTTCAGTAATTTTGATATTCACTATAGATAATTAATGATATTCTCTTAACTCGTGGTTCATGTGGGGAAGATTAATTTGTCGTTTTCTTTTTCTGAATACTTACTGTAACTTAGTTTAAAGATTAAAGAATTATTGCAAAGAAGTCAAATTAAAGAAAATAAGTGTAATGTTGTAAACAAAATTTAATAGTATGATGTCAAACTTAATTAGACGGATGTTAATTTTTCGAAATTATCCCCTTCTAATTTTTTATATATGTAATATATAAAATGTTTTTGAAAAAATAGCGCAAATTTCTATGTTTGAGTTCAAAAATATATATATATTTAATATTAAGAGGCATAGATCGAGAAGATGATTATGAAAATGAAAAAGGTATGATTTGAAGCTTGATTTATTTTTTTGACCTATAAGCTAGTTACTTTTATTCGTAACTTTAAAACGAGAACTTCATAGATTTTGATGGTAATAAATTTTGAATGATGTGTCCCTTCGGGGACATCCGATAAGAAAAATAAATTTTGAAGAAATTTCCAAATAAGCTAAAAATCAAGGCAATAGATAATCCGTCAAGCAAAATTCATATTGATAACTCTGAAAAAAAGGTTATATAAAAATAATTCATTGTTACTGATTCATTCAAGGCATAGACTCTCCATTTCTTTGTCTTATTAACGCAGGTGTTTGACAACGATGAAAGCCGCTGAACTTCAGACTCGAGTGGAGAAAGAGAGCTAGGCCCCCTTAATATAATAACTTGTTTTCAAATTAAACGCTTCGATAAATTGTTTTGTCGATGTGGTAACTAAAATAGTTCTAGTTAAAGCTTCAATCAATCAAAATCACCTAAAACTAGGAATCCAAACATATTGAAGTGTCCAAAAAGCATCTTATAAAGAGCACAAAAGTTTTTTTTTCTTTTTAATAAATAAAATAATTTGTTTTCTTTATTCATAATATATAGTTTTCTTTTTTCAAGCTTTGTTTTCTTTATTGATTACTAAGGTATTGTATCTATGGACTAGGATGAATATGGCCCATATATCCCTAAAATGCTTAAAGGAAATATCACAGTCAAAGGAGAAAGAAATTACAAAAATTAAAATAGATTGAAAATCGAGTAAAAAACCAACAGACAACCTCATTTTTTTTTACTTAAAATCAATGAATTTGAGCAGAGAAACTTGCGAATACAGTTTGAGATATTAAAAAGTTGCAAAGATTTTAAAAAAACTAATAGAAAATCGAAGAACGTCTATCTATTACCTTAAACTAAAAAGGGCAACTTTCACCTATAGCAAACATAAAATTCATATTTATATACTATTGCAAAGATTGCATAATTGCACTTTGTAACAAACATAAAAATATATAATTCGCTAGACATATACAATTGAAGCGAATTGTATAAAACGAGAAAAAGAAAGAGATTTTGGCAGAAAAATAACCTTTGAATGTTCATCAATTTTTTTTAGGAAAAAAATCATTATAAAACTACAGTCCAATGGTTTTTAAAGATATTTTTTAATAGGGAGACACATGTTAAAGGTTTTAAAAACATTTATAACATTTTGTCATTAAAAAAAAAAGAATTTAGAAATATAGATGACAAACTCTGAAAAACATGAGTGATTAAGAAAGGACAAATATTTTATTTTATGTTGATAAAGTTTTAATATAGACTACGAATAATGAATCGAATAAAAAATTACCTACAAAAATAATATGTTTGTGACATCTGCTACGCTAAGTCCATTCTTATACGGTAAAATTATTTCTATGCACTCATGTAACAACAAAATTATCATTGAAGAGCTATTTTATGATTGTAATACCACGTAATTATTATGTCAAATTTCATATAAAATACTAATTAGTTTTATATATGATTATGGTACTTTCGATAAATTTGATATACTTTGGAAAATGATTTTTTTTTAAAAAAAAAAATAAACTAAAGCATTTTAAGGAAGTGTTTTGAGAGAATTGCCTTTAACAGTAAAAAGTCTGCTAGAGAAGACGCTAAGGTCACCAAATACAATTGAAATAAGATGTATTTTTCCATGTTTGATTAAGATAAATTACTGAATAACTTATATTAAGATAGTAATATTATTTTTATTTCATATAGTAAAAATAAAATAATAATCTCGAGATAACTAATCTCAAAATAACTTATTCTCAATAAACGAGCTCATAAGGTTTATGGGATGAAAAAAGAAAAGAGAAATTGCGTATAATACCAAACATTTAAATCATATAGCTACTATTTAGGGGAATTCTAATTCACAACTATAGTTTCGTACGATCTTGTTATTCGTCTGATTAATATAAATTCAAAAAATTTGTTTGATTCCAATCTGATGATATAAATTCAAAATTTTGTATATACTTACTCTAATTATTTGGATATGATTTATGAGAAATTCCTAATAAATTATCTTGTTTTTACATTACCACGTGAAATATACAAACAAAATTTTAAAGTTCCTCAATATATAATTACAAGATTTGTATATATTTACCCGGTCAGAAATACACATATCATTGTTTGCATAACAAACGAACTATTTTAGATATAAAACATAATTATTAGTCTTATTATATTGTGGATAAGGTAACTTTTGAAACTAAAAAGAAATGTAGTACAAATAAATTAATTTGCTTTTACTTTTTTTTTCTTTTTTCTTTGGTATTATTCCATCTAAAGTAAAAAAAAAAAGATAAATAAAGTGCCAAATGAGTCCAAGAACACAAAAAACACTATAAGAAGAAGCACTATGTATTTTTTCACTCAACTAAAACAAAACTCCCATGGAAGAAAAACATCAATCTCCCATTATTTTCAATAACTATCAAACAATTTCTTCTTCATCTCTAACAAAAAGATCAATATCCTTGAAATCATCGAAACAACAAACCAATCAAAACAAGAAAATCAAATCCAAGTACTGAAAAAACCAAGAAAATGGACGATTCAAAACACCCAATTTACCACGGTGTTCGAAAACGAAGCTGGGGAAAATGGGTGTCTGAAATTCGCGAGCCGAGGAAAAAATCAAGGATTTGGCTTGGTACATTTTCTACAGCTGAAATGGCTGCCAGAGCACATGATGTAGCTGCAATTGCCATTAAAGGTCACTTAGCTTTACTCAATTTCCCTGAATTAGCTCATCAATTTCCTATACCATCTTCGAAATGCGCTAAAGATATTCAATCTGCAGCCGCAAAGGCTGCAGCTTTGAATATTTCACCAAGAAATTTTATGGAAAAACAGAGTACAGATGAGTTAATGGAAATGCCCTGTTCTTCTGAAGAAACAGAGTCAGCAGAATCATCTTTGACGAGTAATAGCGAAGACCCTTTTCTTGATTTGCCTGATCCTTCTTATGGATCTCACTCAAAAATTTGATAAATTCTGTTACTATAATTCACCGTGGGATTTGGCTGGAGCTGTAAGCTTTTGGCCTCAAGAAGAGCTCTATTCGTGGGATTACAACCATGAAACTGAAACCCCACTCGAAGTTTCACAGCCATAATACTATAATTTTTCGATATTCCAACAATTAAATTTTTTTAAATATTTATTGAAAGCTCAAAATTACTTATAAATAAAAGATGATAAATTAATATGTCGAATTTTTGGCAAGCGAAAGACACAAGTATTAAGAAGGTGTGATATGGAATATGAAATTTTTTTTTCTCGTTAACATATCTAAGTCATGTAACTTTTTAAATGATTTAAATTTTTTCTAATCTTTTTTTTTTATGTAACAAAATAGAATAAATGAGTACGGAATTGACAGTCATCTTTTATGTTATGGTTCATTGTAAATACACTAATGAATAAATTATTTTCTTAACTATTTTTTTCAGTGACCGATAAAT